GTTTTGTTTAGGATTTTACATACTTTTTTTTAACAATGTGTGCAGTGATGGACAGCACATAATGTGTTAATTTAACATGTTTACACATCTTTGTGCTAACCTTTCTGACATATTTACTTTGTTACAATTAACACAAAACCCTAAACTCACCCACCTCATTTTTACACATGTGTAAAAAAATTAACACATCATTTCCAGCATTGGCAGACGGTTTATTTTGTGATGCATGTGAAATGTTTTAAATAAATAAAACTGGTATTGTGTAATTTTGTCTAATTGATTTGAATGTCAGTAGTACTTAGGATAAAAATAAAAAATAATTCTATATCATGATGAAATCTAATTTATATTTAGTACAAATAAAAATAATTAGTGTACTGATTAGCTTGATTTTTACAGTAATGCACTGTATTACACAATTACAGTACCATGTAGTTACTGTAAAACTGAAATACGTTATGGTAGCCTACTGTAAATCTTAATTACTAAAAAAAACCTTGAAAAGTCTAACAGTGAACGTAGTTTTACAGCAGCCTACAACTTACATTTTGATATGACCATAATGATCTAATAATGTAAAAATGACCCCATTCCAGTCAGGAAAGATGGTAGACCAGTATTCCAATTCAAAAAGTGATGGAGGGTGTAATTTTGTCAAGTCATTTCAATTAACACACTAAACTCTCAAAATATATTTGTAATCACACACTGCACAGATTTCAAGGAAATTAGTTGTAGCCTACATGTTCATTCTCTAGAGCTGCTCTGACAAAACATGTTTCACAATCGCACAGTAGCGACCTTGAAGCGCTATTTATCCATTAATGTCTACCATGGCAACGGCAACACCAAGAACTATTCAACTGAGTACTGAACGAACTGACTCAGAAAAGTGTTAATGTGCACATAATCTGCCAAGGACAGATCTGTAATAAAAAATAAAAAATGCTGTAATTTTCGGTTCTCTGATGCCTACCATTTTTTTTCAAGGTTTGAACAAAGCATTAAAGGGTTAGTTCACCCAAAAATGAAAATTATGTCATTAATGACTCACCCTCATGTCGTTCCAAGCCCGTAAGACCTCCGTTCATCTTCAGAACACAGTTTAAGATATTTTACATTTAGTCCGAGAGCTTTCTGTCCCTCCATTGAAAATGTATGTACGCTATATGTACGGTATACTGTCCTTGTCCAGAAAGGAAATAAAGACATCATCAAAGTAGTCCATGTGACATCAGTGGGTTAGTTAGAATGTTTTGAAGCATCGAAAATACATTTTGGTCCAAAAATAACAAAAACTACGACTTTATTCAGCATTGTATTCTCTTCCGGTTCTGTTGTCAATCCACGTTCACGAGTCCGCAGGGACGCCGATGACATAAGACGCTGCTGACGTGTTATCTGGTGTGTCCGTGTATTCAGGTTCAAATAAATATGGCTGGGCAAAAAAATGCAAGTCTTCCTCTTTGTCGAAATCCTTAGACATGTTTGCGAAGTTTGTTTTGTTTACAGCGTCAGACTGTAAACGAAGCTCTGGCGCACCAGATAACACGTTAGCAGCGTCTTGCGTCATCAGCATCACTGAATGCAGATTGTCATTAATGACATAATTTTCATTTTTGGGTGAACTAACCCTTTAACACTAGGTTAAAACGGCCACGGCGGTCATTGAATTTTACATCTGCAATAACTTTGTTGAAAAAATAAATAAAATCCTGCTGGTACCTGACTTTTCCTAAAAGTGTCTGTATTTTCATTTGAAATGTTTTTAATATAAATTACACATAAGGCAAAAAAACAAATGAACATACCTATTTCGGCCATAGACGGTCATATTGACCGCACTGAATTTCGCGGTATTTTGTGTTACATTTCTCACGGTCTACCTTGTCTATTAGGAAATAATCAGAAGATTCAATTGCAAAATTACAGATATGTTTAATGAGAGCTGGTCAGATGCTGGGAGAGTTAAGGTGTGCAAATGTCCGGTATGAAGCCCTTGGCAGCACAGGGACGCTGCGTGTAGAACCATGGAGTGCTGAACACGGGATATCACAGGGAAAACGGATCAGGCAGGGAACAAACGATCTTACAAAGGCTAGGCGACAACAGTAACACTAAAAAGGGTCGAATGCTGATCAGTTGCAGATGGCGCGTTGATCAGAGCGGGCGTGCTGATCAGCTGCAATGATCAGCGACCACGCACACACACACACACACACACAACAAGACGAGAAAGGAGACAGCGAATTCATAAACCGTGACATTGTCTCTCTCACTGTCAAAATAATATCTAAATAAGATACTTTTAGTTGTTATTATCTTGTTCTGAGTTATGTTGAATGAATGGATATGGAAATATAGCTATATGTTGTGAATATGCGATAATTACGGGCTACTGATATTATTACTTATAAATGTATAATTAAACTTTTTTAAATGTACAGTTTGGTGTTGTTTTGTTTTTTAAAAGATATCCTAATACAATAAATGCATTAATCTCTCAATTGGGTATTTATCATTAAAGATATAGAGATTGCAATCTAACGGTCAAAATGACCGCTTGTGGCAGTTCTAGAAGTTATGGAATTCTGGCACTTCTAGTGTTAAGTAGGCTATAACTTTAAGGAACAGTTCACTAAAAATGTAAATTCTGCCATCATTTATTCATCCTCATGTCATTCCAAAGTGAGACATGTAGCAGAATGGTCCCCCTTCCCGTCAAATATATTGTACACATGCTATATATCTCTTTTGGTGTTCCATGAAAGAAAGAAAGTCAAAGAAATCAGTGTGAAAAACTAAAATATATTATATTTATGAATAATTGATGTTTTATATTAATTCAACGACTTTTAATAAAAATGATCAGCTTACTGATGGCAAATCACAGTTTTATTGTTTTTTTTACAATTAAATAATCTTCAATTGATGTTTTATATTAATTCAATGACTTTTAATGCCATCATTAGATCAACTTACTGATAGCAAATCAGTTTTGTATATATACTGTATATAATTAAGGCTAGAAGAAGTATCCATTTATTTCAAACCCATGATGTCATCCTCTAGGTAGGACTTATTTTTTCATTTCATTTCAATGAAATTATTTTAAATGATTTCAATGCTGTTCTCAATTTACTGACAAACATCAAAAGTGTGAAAAAAGAATGTGTCTTGCTGGTTGATTATTATGCTATAAGATTCATAATAAGTTGCCATGGCAATACTGCCTTTGTTACACGTTTTTCTCATCTGCTTTGTTGTCACATCATTCAACTGTGATGGATGAAAGCTCCATAATTTCAAATATTTATACTATATTGACATCTGAACACCACATAACTCATCTCAACACCGATTCTTACAGTTCAATTTAATGACAATATCATTTTCAAATACAGGTAATATTATCCAAGCTGGGTACAACTGATTGCAAAGCAAAGCTCATTTCATTCGATTTCAAATGATTTCTTTTTAAAATTGCACATATTAAAACAAGCTGAGAGGGAAACTTTCTAAGACATTCAAAATCTGCTGTTATACAGTAGTAGTACAAGCACATTACTAAAAGTACAGTGGAACTTACAGAAGCTTTTCTCACTCTGCACTTCATTGTCCAATAAAGCAACTAAGATGACCAAAAACTTGCAATAATGTAATTTATATTGATTTACGAAAAATGATGTTTTATTAACAAAGTTCGGGAGGAGCACGTTCAGTTAATTAACACGAGTGGAGTGCACTCAGCAATCAATGAAAAGAGGTGTATATAGATTCAGCAAGCTCACCTCACTCCATTGATAGTTTAGCAGCATCCCTCCACCGCCCCTTCTCCACACACTTCCAGTCCTAAACACTTACATAGGGGGAGTAGCCTACTCTGGGTTCGGGCCAAACTCCGAGCTCGGAGCCCTCCCCCCGGACAGCACGCCAAATACGCATTAAATCTTATCCACTCTAATTATATGTAAGTGTGAACTCGTGAAACCATAGGCGCAAATAGCATTACGTTTTTCAAAACAAGAATTTTACAATTAATTCCTAATACTGTTGTGGCAATAGAGCACTGATGATGTCATAATATATCTTTTGATGAGTGAATATTCCAATAACAGACTTCTGCCTCCAGTCACATATACACACCCAAGGAACAAAACACTAAAAGATTACATTTTTAAGCCATCTCAGGCAGAATGTCTCTGCTCTCTGATAGTATATATATATCCTACACATACATACACTGTATATAGAAATACTTAATTAAAATCAACTGTTACATCAATAATATCAATACAAAACAATGTGTAAGGCACCTGACACATGTGTTTGAAGTGTTTTGCTTGAGACATTTTACTGCCATTCTACCTTTTCACATAAATGCTTTTTTAAAAGCTGTATTTACATAAACGTTACTCAAAGATTTCCACATTTTCATTGTCAAACATGCAATAGAGATGTACATCTTTCCCCCCAGGATAATAAAAAAGGATAATACACTGTATTAAGCAAGAACAACCTGACTAAGAAGATTCAGTTCTTTAGTTGGTTGTTTTAAAGCCCTATGCCCAAAAAAAAAAACAGCTAAAAAATCCTTAGACTCCCAAGGCAATTTAGATACATAATCCTTTATCCACAATCATTCATAATCCTTTTCATACATAATCCTTCAATCTAAATCAAATACAGAGAATATAAAGCACATTTCAGACAGTAAGCAGTTCCGATAACACTAACTGCTATGGACGACATACATTTTTATTTTTCCGTCATTAGAGATATATAGTTTCCTGAGTCATAATTATGTGACACTGCTGAATCTGATTACTATTATATATTTATTTATTATTTATTTTTTAAATAGAAAACAGGGCTGTTTTACAATCCAAAATAAACAATGAACAGTACAAACGGATGCAAACATAAAATGTGTTTGTTTGTTGTTTTTGTCTACATTGTGTTTTATCATATCTACCCAAGGAAACTATATGTTTTGGCTAGTAATATAATATCACAAAGGACTTATAACATTACGCAATGACATTTTAACCATACAACATCTTTGGTCGATGGACATAAAAGAAAAGTGATAAACAAAGATTTGAATGAGGTGATTCTGTAAAAAATTGAATATGGATGGACATACGAAACAAGACAATGATTTCACTAAACGATCGCTTTTTGCAAACTCTAGCAATAGTTATTTTAAAAACATAAAGGGCACATTCTCTTCCTCAGATGGCGGTGGTGATCTGTGTCAGTCCCAGGTCATTCGAGTCCTCTCGACCCTGAAAGGATGATAGCTCCACGGCTAGTCATACGGGTCGACCGTGGCCTCCGTCCCGTTTGGCCTCTGCTGGGCACGTGTGCTCACGAAGAGTGCTTCTGACCCGACTGACGCCGTGCCCGTCCCCCTTGGCCCGGCCCGGGCAGCAGAAGTCCCTGAAGCACCGTTTGAAGTTCTCATCAAGGAAAGCGTACAGGATGGGGTTGAGACTGCTGTTGGTGTATCCAAGCGCCACACAGAAGAAGTAGGCGGCCATGACTGCTGTGGTCTCCGGCACTCCGTGCGCGAGAGCTTTGACCAAGATGAAGATGTGTATGGGCGTCCAGCACACCACAAACACAGCGACCACAACCAGCACCAGGCGGGTGATGCGTCTCAGGTTGCGGTCTTTTTCCCGCGAGCCCGACAGCAGGCGGACGCTTTTAAGGCGCAGGACCATGAGCGTGTAGCAAACGGTGATGATGAGGAGGGGAGCCACAAAGCCGAAGATGAAGACGCAGATCTTCATCACTGTGTCCCAGTAGATATACGGTTCTGGAAACTGCAGAGCACACTCTGTCGTCCCTGCAGAAGAAATATAACAACACTGGTTAATAATTAATCAGAATTGAGGACAGGTTAATCATGCATGCTATAATGAAGCCACGGTGGGAAGGAACAACAAGTACATTAGGGTGAAGCAGAGAACTGACAGTCCCATCATTTACTAGAGGACATTTTTTTTTAATTTTTTTTTGTCCCACATCAACAAATATTAAATTCTTGACTTTTGAATCTTAAAATTGAAAGGTTTTCAGTGCCATGTGTTATGCATGCACCGATATTGAAATTATGACTGTTGAGTTGATCATTATTTTCATGTTATGGCCAATAACCAATAATTGCCAATATTAGAATTCTATATACTATATTGTTTTAATTAATACAAAATAAAACACTATGTTTCAAAACTATATTAATTTAAAAAATAAAAATGTCAATTTAAGCATCACAACATGATTATGTACAGAATGGAAATATTCATTTTGAGATTCACTAAAGATAACTTTTAACAATGTTATTCAATTCTCAGTATTTTTAAAGATGAACATTAACCAGTGACGAGGGACTTACCCTAAATATCCAATATTGACACCTGAAAAAAAAAATTCTAATGTTGGCCGATATACTATTTATTTTTCTTTTTAAAGTTATGGGTGAGTAAGATTTTAATTTATTTATATTCTTTTGAAAGAAATTGGTCATTTAATTTGGCAAGAATGCAAGTGATTGAAAGTATACATTATAATGCTACAAAAGATTGATATACTTCTGAACTTTCTATTTATCAATGAATCCTGAATTTTTTTTATCAAAATGTACACGGAAATATTAAGCAGCACAACTGTTTTTAACATTGATAATAAGAAGAAATGTTTCCAAATTAACATATTAGAATGATTTCTGCACAATCATGTGACACAGAAAAACTGGAGTAATGGCTGCTGAAAATTCAGCTTTTACCAACACAGGAAAAATTTAAATTTATATAATATTATAATATAATATATTTGCATATAAAACAGTTATTTTAAATTGTAATAGTATATCACAATATTGCTGTTTTTGCCTGTGTGAGCATAAGAGACTTACTGAAAAGTCTTACAGTAGTGTTTATATCGTTCATCCCTACCATTGTTTGTCTGAGTGCTCCCAAGGACCATTGCAGGGATCCCAGCAGCCGAGGACAAACCCCAGATGAGGATATTGATGATCTTAGCATTCATCGGAGTCCGGAAGTCCAGAGCCTTGATAGGGTGGCAGACCGCCACATAGCGGTCCACGCTCATCATGGTCAAAGTGAAGATACTAGTGAACATGTTGTAGTAGTCGATGGAGATGAAAACCTTACACACCACCTCACCAAACGGCCAGGAGTTCAGTAGGTAATCTGTGCTCTGGAAGGGCATGGTGGTGGTTACCAAGGCATCGGCAACAGCCAGGTTGAAGATGTAGATGTTGGTGGCGGTTTTCATTTTAGTGTATCTTTCAGGAAAATTGAATGAGCCGGAAAGTGTCAAAATTAATGAAACACAACCCGTCAGTGTGATGAATTCATGCATGAGATTGCTTTCAGGTCATATACTACACAAACTGAAAATTCCCAATTGATACAGAACATTTGTCTTTCAGTGGTTTGCCGGTTGTGTAAAGGCATTATATATCATTCACAGGTCAAGCCCATCTCATTTTTTCTGGTTATATCATATTTCTGTGATATATTATTCAACAAACATGATCTGCAGCAGTTTTTATCTCAAATGTTGTCCCCAAAATGAGCCTTTATACTCAGCTGCATCTGAAGTGTCATATTATATCACAGCCCTGTTTTAGTATGATTTTTATTCGTGTATACAGAATGTGGAGCAGACACAGTCACAGACCCTGTTCAAAGCAGCATATATTTACTATATGTCAAGGTCATTTTGACTACATTGTGCGTTTATATATTACTCCACCGGGGGGAGCAAAACTGCCGAATTCGACTTGAACCCTTGACTAAATGTTTTCCAAAAAACAGATATTTCGTCCAATCATCCCATTGGAAACGTTTCAAATGACTGTATAAAAAAATAAAGTCTATCAACAGCTATTAAAAAATGTAGATACATATTCTCACAATGAGATGGCCCCCATTTGATAATCAATGAAGGGCAGTACATTTTAGGACATTGGTATTTCTTACCTGATAATGACATACATCACAAGGCAGTTTCCCACTAGTCCGACAACAAACACCACAGAGTACACGGCAGCGATGATCGGAATGATAGGGGACCTAGTTTCCTGCTCGTTCGTCCAGCTTTCATTCAGTGAATAGTTATAAATGTCCGAGACAACAGACTGCCATGTGAAGTTGGGCAAACACTTCTCGGGGTGAGATAAGGGGCATTTGTCCTCCTTAAAAATCTGCACCACGTTGCTGTCCATCGTCTGTCGGTTTGCAAAATAAGATCAAATGTCGCTGGAAAAGTTCAGCTGCATGATACAGATTATAAAAAAGGGTAAAATAATAAGCTTTTTACAACATAATTATTTAGAAAATATATACAGTATATAGCCTATATATATTATATATATATATATGTATATTTACATATATATAACTGATACTGCTATTGCACTTTACAAAAATGTCTGTTACATGGCAAAACACTCAAATATAACAGTCTTACCTTATTACAAACTGCAAACCTCTAATTTAATTTGAAAATCCCAAGGTTTTATAACAACAATAATGTCTGTGCGCAATGCGTTGATTTCTTTGCTCCTATTCAATTGATGACTGACTGCCACCTTACGAGAGCAGCTGCCTCTGCCGCGCGTCCCGTATGACATCAGATCTCATGTGACGGTCTCCATACAGTCCTTTAGCCAGCTGTTTTGTCTCACTGCCACTCTTCGCCTATATCGGCGGAAATAAAATTGTCTTCAAAATGTCCAAAATGTCTTACGAATCTGAAAGCCTAAGACACTGCTACCGTTGAAGAAGTAGTTTTAGTGTTTTATGAGATGGCTCGCGCCAAACTTCATGTCTGGAGACATTTTACGCGCGCACTGTCGCGTGAGAACGCAACCGGAGAGACTGCGGTTTATGTACAATAGATATAGCAGTAAAGCCACTGAAACGCTTCAGAGTATGTGGACATTAGCATAGCTTTTATTCAAAGAGACATATAAGATGGGCAAAATCGCATTAGTTTGTCAAAGAAGGATGTGCGTAATTGTGTGGGGCAGCGGGGGCGAGACGTAGCCTAAATACAGGATTAACGAGTGATGGCGTGGTCTTCTGAAATGAAGACAGGCAAAGTCCATCTGTCTTGTTTTTATAGCGATATAAAATCACGTGCCTGTTCAATATGATGTTTGAATTGTTTCTGGGTTAAATATACAAGAAATCAATACAAAGACTCTCTCTCTCTCTCTCTCTCTCTCTCTCTCTCTCTCTCTCTCTCTGTGTGCGTGTGTGTGTTAGCCTGCTTATTTATACCATTGTGTATATATTTGTATACCACTATTTATTACATACTATTGTGTTTAAAACAACATCCTTTAAAAACAAATTGCATCAAGTCATATACCCACAAAATGATGTTCGACTATAGTATTAAAAAAACACCTTCTATTCCAAACATCTGATTAGAAAAGCATCTGATCGTTGCAACGTTAATGTTTGCATGAGCTCTGCAATTAAGCACTCTAGTCACGTTTATATACGTCTTTGTACAATAGATTGCTTCAAATCAAGCAGCTTTAGAGAAAAACAGTGTCAGTGTCTCATTTCATCAGAAGTAGGCCTACAACTTCGTTTTCTACCATAAAGCGGCTCTTCAGTATGTTCATGTTTTTACTTGCAGACTTCTGACCTTGACGGATTGAACAGGAGAAATTAACTAGAGGAGATTTCCATGTAAAAGAAGATGGAGCCTCACCGTACACCCCATGGACCAATGGTAGTACGAAGGTGTTTTAGTTAAGTTATGGGTAAGATTAGGTTTAGGACGTTCAAATATATTGACCCGTCTAACTCTGCAAAATCAGTACGTGCTGGCAACGGACATTATGGCAACACTATCAGCGCCAAAATGAATCTGCAGCAGTCAGGTGGTTCATCAGTCACGTGGTACAAGTCCAAGCTCTCAGAAAATTCAGAGTTTACAAGTTGGAATTACGAGTTCTACAAGGATGTGAATGCTTTTTACAAGCCAGAATCGTGTAATTATGGTAATTCCAACAGTGAATTACCATTACAATCACCATGTTGTCAATAGCATGTGAAAAAAAGAAGTGTGAAGTCTGCACACTGAAAAGGCTGCTCCAAAGAGTTTATTAGCAAGGCAACGTTTCGACCATCAGGTCTTCATCAGGTGCCTGATGAAGACCTGATGGTCGAAACGTTGCCTAGCTAATAAACTCTTTGGAGCAGCCTTTTCAGTGTGCGGACTTCACACTTCTTTTTTTCATTTGTATTACTCAGTTGTCCTGCACCTGCGCCCAATCTGGGTGTTTGGGATGTGCACACCAGTTGTGTATTTTTTGATTCGTCAATAGCATGTGACCCACAGCAAAATCTGAGTCACTTCACAAGCATTCAAAATGAATACTGTGAGTTTGGACTGTAAAAAATATTTGCATGATTTGTTATCACAAATTTTTTTCTTTTGTCAAATCAACTTAGATAATTTATGTGGTTCAGATAACATTATATTTTGAGTTTATGTTGATTAAACCTCCTTTATTGTATTAGCTCATTTTTTAATTTCAATGAATTTAAAAGGCAACCAGGTTACTTACTTTTTTAAGTTAAACCAATAATAATAATATAATATTAATAACCAACAATAATATTTTTACAGTGCATAGTTTTTCACCTACTATATAATAGGGAAGTATGCTTATTTAGATGCAGCCCAGTGGATGATTGAGAGGGTGTGTCGTTTATTTGGTAATTAGTCCATTTTCACTAGCTTCAGACACATTTGCAAACCTGTATGAACATCGTCACTATTCCACAAACAGCGTGATCAGCCAGTTACAGCGACTACCTGCCTTCACACCCCACAAAGCACAACATGTCCCTGAGTCAACATCTTTGTTGATCCTGGAACAAAATTTCAATAAACCAATCAGATTTGAGCGACAAGTTTACAGTTCTAACAACAAGGATTAGGATTATCATTTCCCTCTGATTTTAGGGAAAAGTTATGATTAGGGTAGGGTGTATTACGGTGATCATCAGAGATGCTGCCTACCTTGTTGCTGCTGGACAGTGTCATTTTAGAAAAAGGGGTGCTTTACTTTATAAAAAGGGGTGACTACTTTATCTCATGTTTCATAATATACACTACCGTTCAAAAGTTTGGGGTCAGTGAGAATTTTATTTTTATTTTTTGGAGGAAAGAAATCAATACTTTTATTTATCAAGGACAGTGAAGACATTTATAATGTTACAAAAGATTCTATTTCAAACAAATGCTGTTCTTTTGAACTTCCTATTCATCAAAGAATCCTAAAAACAAAACAAAAAAAACTGTACAACTGACAGACCAACAACTGTTTCAACATTGATAATAATAATAAATGTTTCTTGAGCATCAAATCCTCATGTTATACTGATTTGTGAAGGATCATTTGACACTGAAGACACTGACACTGGTGATGCTGAAAATTCAGCTTTGATCACAGGAATAAATTACACTTTACTATATATTCACACAGAAAACAGCTGATTTACACTGGAATAATATTTAATACTATAACTGATTTTTGTTGTATTTTTAATCAAATAAGCGCAGCCATGGTTAGCAGAAGAGAATTCTTTTAAAAGTATTTAAAATCGTACCGACCCCAAACTTTTGAACGGTAGTGTATATATATATATATATATATATATATATATATATATGTTTTTTTTTGAAGGAGCACTGCCTCCCTTGAACCTCATGGCAAAAAAACCCCACCAATATGGTTGTCTGATTATCATTTTACATGATACTACTTTTACATTTTCCAAAATAGGCCATAAAACACTTCTGAAGTAAGGTTGAGAAGAAGCAAGAGACTAATCCAGGTTTACTATGGAATATCACTTTATTATTCTGTTGCTATTACAGTACATATTTGTCCATTCTAGATGGCAATTTTAGAAACAAAAATGGAATGAAGCGAAAAAAGAAAAAGGGCTCAGCAAAACCCAAATGGTGTCTTTTATGAAAGTGTGCTTGTTTTTTTCCATCTAACAACAGCTTTGAAAACAAAATAGGCCTACAGGACTGAGGGTCGACCACAGCACGAGCTCTAATGGAACCCACTATTTACTCTTCAATATTGATTTTACTCATCTAACCATAGTCTTGTCATACCAGTAATGGACACAATAAACATCTAGTTCATCAGCATGACATTCTGTGAACGCAGATTTTTGTTTGTTCTTTCTAGGCAAAAATAGGAGAACTTCACATGTTGCTAAGATACAAAGGTAGGTGTTGTTTGTGTGGTAAGTTTCCTCCCAGTGCTTGTGCTTCATAACCTCAGGTAAAAGGGCTCATAGATAATTACAGCTCCATAAGACATCACAAAATCCCACTGAAGGACACAGCTGTGTGAAGGGAAAAAATATTTTAATCAGTTATTTTATTTAGTCTTTGTATTAATGTTGTTTTGTCTCTCTCAGTCTACACATTCATATGCATAAACCACAATTGAGTGTAAGTTGCCTACATTAATTAGTTATTATTTTGGCAGCTAAAACCCATATATAAGACAACAACGTCAATGGTTAGATGACCTTACACATTTACTCTCTCTCATTTTGCACTAAAACCCTAAGGCTGTTATTATTTTCTGCCTAAAAATGAGTAAAAGGCAGTTTCAGGAGATTGCTGGCTTTAGTCATTAATATATATTTAACCACATAATTGAATTGATTCTTTTTTTGGGACCTGGGAAATAAAATATGAAATAACATGCACAAAAACAAAACAAGAAGCCAAATAAAATAGAAAAAAAACAATAAAAAGCAACACCAAACAAAATGACAAAAAACAATCAAATACATAACATAAATTATAATAAAAAAAGAAAAAAACAAACAATTGAACCAAACACCAAACAAAAAACAACAACAAAAAACAGAACAGCCTCTGAAAACACCATCTGGAAAAAAGAGAAAAGTTGATCTGCATCATATGATACCAGATCTATTATGATCATCCCATTCATAGTTTACTAACCACCAACGAATGTTTAAATGCACACATTACTACAAAAAGAAGAAGAAGAAAAATTTACCAACTGATGAATTCAACAAGTTGAAATAAAACGGTAAATGTATCTGGGTGCAATTCTATTTCAACGTAAATCAAGTCAAGGACAAGAAAAAAACCTCCATCAGAGTCACATGAATCTTTTTTATGATATAGTCTTTTAAAATCTCAGCAGTTGAACACACATTGTTGAAGAAGAAACTGAACAATCTGATCACTTCTAAACAAATATATTTACATACATGCTGTGCTTTACACTAATGAATGATCATTTCTCAAATGTGTGGCATCTTTACCAAGGGTAAAGTGAGAAATAACCTGCTGAAACTGACCAGAAAGAAAATTCATGCAGAGAAATGTTTATCTGTGTTTTTTTCTCTTTTGCATTTGAAGAAAAAAGAGAGTGTGTGACTCGAGAGAGAGGGAGAACAAGAGAGATGGTTGGATTGTTCTTTCAATTTTTCAGTGCCCTTGAAGATCGAAAGGAGTGTACTGTATGAAGGCATCAGTTTGTTTAGAAACAGTTTCCATGGAAACCAAATATTCTTTTTTATATATATATATATATATATATTCACAAAGGTGCAACAGTTCAGAATGTGCGTGTGCGTGTGCCAAACCTCAG